TTTAGCACTGATGGGAAAATCCCTTAATCTGAAGAGTATTAAAGGGTTAATAAAGCATAAAATATGTCTGTGGTCTGTCATTGCAGCTGTGTTTGTGACTAGATTATTTGAATAAAGACGTGCCATCCTTTGGGCAGCACCAAAGCTCCTTCGGTGTATCTTCTCTAGTTCTTGCATTTGTCGGTTCTTTTTAAACAGAAAAGTTGTTCTGGACCTTGTTTGTTGACGTTTCGGCTGCTTCCTGTAGCCATCCTCAGAGCTCTGTGTGTGTGTGTGTGTGGGGGGGGGGGGGGTAAATGCTGTTTCCTGCATTCTGGTGTATGTACACAAGTTGTTAAACACCTATTTTACCTACAGTAGTGGTACCTTAACCCAGTAACTATTTATTCGCCAAAACCTCCAGCTGATTAATGCAGAAAATACTATAAAATAGAAACTTCCATTCAAGTTTTGACTGCGTGTTTATTTTATTTTATTCTTGTTGATAATAAGAATACCAGCAGGTGGACTAAATTTGAATTTAGTGAACCGTTTTAACATTTAATAACAGCAGCCCTCTTTGTTGTATCTCTAGTGTACAAAGCAACATTTTCATGTATCCCAGTACAAATAGTTATATTACTACTCAGACTGAAAACACAGATACTAACAGGTATTTTGTTAGTAGTGGAAATTTTATGTAAGGACATCCAACAACTGCACTGATGTGAGACAAACCTAGATAACATGTAGGTGATTGGATGAGTATTACAGATAGCTGCTGTATAAATCTGTGGTTACAAGTACATATAATATCCCAGATATCCATAATAACGTTCTTACTATCCATACAAGTTGAAGTAAAATGACCTGGATCTGGATGTTTTTCCACTGTACGCATTTAAAACAGCAGTGTTACTAGTAACAGTAGAATTATAGGTGTTTAAAGCGAGTTTCTCCTGGTCAGAATTCAGTTTAACATCATCTCAGTAACAGTGCTAACCAACCCTGCTGTTGGAGAACAACATGTGACTACAGATGAGATCTAACAAAGCCCGCGTTACTGAAGTCCTGGAGGTGATGTTTGGACTGCATGTTAGTGGATTTGAATGATTTGACAGAACAGCAGAATAGATAAATGGTTGTGAAACCAACTGAAACACCATCTCATGACAGTCATGCTTAGTGTGTGTTATGGGTGTAATGAGAGTTTGGAGCTAACTTGGCTAAGTAAACCACTTAAGATGAATGAATGGCTCTTTTGTTTTGGGTGTAAACAGCGCTGGTTTCACCCTCAGGTTTACGTGCTTTTAGGTTCGTTTCGAGTGGCGTGACGAAGAAAAGGCCGACTGTTGCAAAAACTGTCATCTACAAGGAGCGGACAAAGAACGAGTTAAAGAGAAGCCAATGTTCAAACAATACATCTCCTGTATGGATGGAGAATGATTGCTCAAGAGCACTTAAGAACAGAAACACATACAAGGTCTGACACTCGTTAAACCAATTAGTCTTAGCAAAAGAAAGAGAGCCATGTTGGGAAATCCCCTCTGCCTGTTGTGAGGTATTGCCTTTTCTGATGCGCTTTGCAAAATTCAGCGCAGGTGGTTGGACCAGTTTGTTCTCTGGCTGGACCCAAAGAGTATAAAAGGCAGAAGACATGAGGAGTGCTTTCCATCCAGACTGAGCTGAATCCCTCCAGACCACCAGCAGGACCAGCCTAGTAAGAGTTTTGTTTTATTAACGGTATTTTTGATATTATTGACTGGATGAATCGTCTCTGAACCCTCAGACGTCTGATTGACTAACAGCGGTGTTATCCAGGTTTTTGTTCGTCTGGGGTTTGGTTAACAGACAGACTCTGTGTTAGTTACCAACAGAGACGAAACATTTCATTGTGATGATTTTGAACTGTGGTGTAAAACCGTTAGTTTTAAAAACACATTTTGATGTGATGAACTGTTTCTTTTATTTCTGCCATGTCTTCATAAACGGTTGCTCCACACCAGACCGTGTGCATGACTTCACTTGTTCACAGCAACCCTTGTGTGGTTATCTCCCCCAGAAAGAGTCAACATGAAGCTCGAGTTGGTGCTGATGCTGGCTGTGGCGGCGCTGGCGCCCAGCCTCTCCGACAGCAGGATCGTCTCCGTGTGTGAGCTGAAAGATAAGCTGGGCCAGGCCATCCCCCACAGTGGAAAACCACAAAAACATGAACTGAAGCTGGCCAGAAGTGAGTAGGTTGGAGTGACATGGTGTTATATCAGAGAACGTTTATGATGCTCTGAGTGTTCATCACTAGTCAAGCGTGGAAGGAGAGGTGAGACAGCAACAGCTAGGCTCTTGTCTAAGACACCCAGAAAAACCCTAACATGACAAGTAACGGAGGGTCCTCTGAAACCTTTAGCTGAACGAGTGTGTTGACTCATCCTTCTCATCAGCTCCTTTTCCTGTTTTGTCTCGGTTGTTTTCACTGGCTGCAGTCGTCTGTGAGCTGAAGAGGATGTCCAACCTGAACACCAGCCTGGTAATAGGAGAAGGGAACCGCCAGCCCAAGACCACAAACAAACCACTGACTAGTCCACGTGCAACAGGAGGCACTCACGGACCTGCTGGCACTGTCGCACCGACTCCGTTTGCAGCTGATAACAGCACCGCTGCTGCGACTGGGGCTGCTTCAGCTACTACTGCAAGTGTTACTGCGTCAGCGCCAGTGTCCACCAATGCAACCACACCATCTGGTATCGTGAGACAGAAAAGGTCCGCCAAAAACAGGTCCGGGTCAGGAAACAAAGAGAAGAACAGGGATGACTCAGAGGAGAAAGAAAAAGAAGAAGACAGCAGCCAAGAGCAGGAAGACTCCTCTGATGATGACGACGATGATGATTCTGAAGAGGGCACCTACGGGATCTTCCAGCTGAGTGACGGCCATGCCTGTGAGTCCGGCTATCGCCCGTCTAGAAATCAGTGTCGTACTGACTGCTCAGGTGAGTTCATGCACGAGCAGCAACGCTCTCTGAGAAGAACCATTCAGCATTAACACGATTTCATTTGCTTGAAGCTTTCACCGATGACGACATCGAGGATGACATCAAGTGTTTTGTGGGGCGAGGCTATTGGAGGTGGGTCCCGGCACGAGCACACCTGGTCTTTCTGGTTTGTTCAGTGTTCACATCTAAATCACACACTGATGTCATCACACAACATGAGCTGGCAGCCAGTCCAACACGGCGTCTCAGTCTGGACTGACCTTCTCTTTTGTTCACAAGCAGAATCCTTCAGACAGTTTGGCAGGTATGAGGATGACGATGGAGCGTTGCACGAGTAGGGTTTGCAGCCCAGAGCAAATGTCTCTTTTTTCTAAACGAAGGGCTTAGGGACGTCTGCCTGCTCTTGCCTCAACGAAAAGCCCGAGTCTAAATCGTCCAGATTTGATGCCAAAGATGTTTCAAGTGAGACGCTGCCATCTTTGTTGTCTGCTTAGTCACAGTAACATCCCGCCCACCAAACCAACCAAGCACTGTGATTGGCCCACCTAACCGATACAGGGCTGTGATTGGCAGGACACCAGAGTGGTCCAGCCTGCTAAGGCTCCGATGGAGCGTGATGGTTTTGCTCCTGCTACGGTCTGTCTAGATGTCTAGGCGACTACTTCTGACCTTTTGCTGAAAACACTTTACATTCACTTTGAAACCACGTCTGTTTCCAGTGTTGCACCCATGCTTCCTGGTTTTGCTGCTGTTTCAATGGTGACTTTGTTTTTCACGCAGGAGTGTCCTAGAGGAAGTCTCTGGCCAGTGTGGTAATCCAGGGAACATCTTCAGCCAGTGCAGCTGAGTACCTGGCAACCCGTGTTCTACCGGCTGTTTTCCTCCCGGTGGTTCATCGCCTGATTTCTCTGTGATTTCTGTATTAACCCCATGCTCGTGGGAGGGAATCATACATTTATCACATTAAAGTCATTTAAAAATAGGTGTTTTGTTTCCCTGCTTTCTGTACTTAATAAATACCACACCTGTTATTAACATCAGTTATTCATATACTGTTAATGATTACTTACTTGTGGGTTTTTATGGGTAACCAATAGATGCTCCAACCACCAAGTATCTCACTTATAAACCCTTGCATAGAATCCTTACTTGTGGATTTGGAGAAAGCGTTCGACTTTGATTTTGATTCTGAGTTTGAGTCAGAAAAGTGTAGAACGCCTTCTCCAGGTCAGGGATGAGGTCCTGAGATGAGCTCCCTTAGAGATAGAGTGAGAAGCTCGGTCCTCCGGGAGGGGCTCGGAGTAGATCCGCTGCTCCTCCACATGGAGAGGAGCCAGTTGAGGTGGCTCGGGCATTTGATTAGGATTCCTCCCTGGTGAGGTTTTCCGGGAATGTCCAACCGGGAGGAGGCCTAAAGGAAGACCCAGGACACGGTGGAGGGACTATGTCTCTCACCTGGTGAGGGAACGCCGTGGGATTCCCCCGGAGGAGCTGGCCCAAGTGGCTGGGGAGAGGGAAGTCTGAGCCTCTCGACTTAGGCTGCTGCCCCCACGACTCAACTGTGGATAAGTGGAAGAAAATGGATGGATGGATGGATGGATGGATGGATGGATGGATGGATGGACGGATGGATGGATGGATGGATGGATGGATGGATGGATGGATGGATGGATGGATGGATGGATGGACGGATGGATGGATGGATGGATGGATGGATGGATGGATGGATGGATGGATGGATGGATGGACGGATGGATGGATGGATGATTAGAACCATAGCATTTATGGCTATGATGTGTACTAACCTCACTAAGATCAAGGCAATGCATTAAACCCATTACAAACCCATGGAAACATAACAATGTTAATTAAAACTTTAAATAAAATGTGACACAAATGACCCCTCTGTAACGAAGCTTCATCACGTTACACCATGCATGTGTATATTAAAGTATCTTTCCAGAGGGTTCCCCTTTCAGAATGTATGTGTGACTTTCCAAGATCCATAAAGTGATGATCTCATCATGCACTGTGATGTGATGTAAGCACCCCCCTGCCCCGCAGAGGTCCATGCAAACTGGAACTGAGCGCCGACCAGAACTAACCAACACGACACGACATGAGAATAATACTTAACCTCTTTAGCTCTGTTTGTCGGCCACAGAAGCACACAAATAAATAAATGTGAAGTCACCATCTTAAAAAAAATGGAAGGAGAAACTATTTGTGCGATATGCTTGTCAGCCACTAGATGGTGCCATCAGATAAGATAAATTATAAATAATTATAACTATAACTGAAAGGCTGTCAAATTAAATATGTTCTCTAATAAAATCACAACGATTCAAGCACCTTTTAAGCTTTTCTGTGTAGGATTTATCGACATATAAAAATATGGACGTAGCCCGCCCATTGCTCCGCCAGGGGTAAATGGGAGGTTCCCACCACTGATTTTGTGACCAAGTCACACCCAGACAATCCAAAAATGGGAAAAGAGGTGGAGCTGAGGGCGGGGCTGTTATGTTTAGAACAGGGTTTGAACAAATGAAACCAATCTAGCTACTAGCTAACTCAGCTAACTCAAGAAGCTGAGGACACCGGGGACCGCGGGGTAGTAACCACAACTTGCCCTTTGTATCTAAAGAAATCCATGATTAACATCGAAATGGCTGAACTTCTTCCGTGCTGTCGTTCTTTTTAAAACACAGAAACAGTTTTTTACCTGTTTTGTTGACCGAAACTGTTTCTGTGTTTTAAAAAGAACGACAGCACGGAATTAGAACCACGACACAGCATGAACACACCTAAGATGGCTGAACTTCTATTAACGTGGGGCCGAGGCCTTCCCCCAGAGCTAGCTCAGAAGTCACGTGGATGCTCATTAATTATTCCGATTTTTAAGCATTAAATTACACTTAAACAGAAGAGTAACAAAAAAGCTCACACCCCTCAGAGTTGTCATGAATGTAAGCTAGATCTAATAAACCTAAAATGGTTTCTTAACCAGGCTGTAAACATGTTTACTTCTGCTGCCAGACCCTAGCCCACACGTGTCAGACACAAGGCCCGCGGAGCTTTTTTTTTTTGTGGTCCGCAAGATAAATATCAAAATTATATTAACACCGACCTGCTGGCCGATTCTACAGCAAACACTACAACTCCCATGATGCTTTGCGGCGTTAGCGCGGAGCCAAGCGCCCCCTCCTTTGTGTTTTTTTCCAGCGTCTGCTGCCGGTGTCTGCAGCTCTGCTGTCTCGACCCTAACCCTAACCCTAACCCTAACCCTGGATATAAACAAAGTAGTATTAAAAACTAACGGTGGCTTACAATGACAGCATGAGAATACTGCTGAAATACTCAAGGAGCTCCAGTGCGAGTCACATGTTTGTCAGTGTTGGGGTGTGTAATGATGTGTGGTATCTTATGTAGGGTTACTGGCCAACCCTGTCCACAGTACTGTCCGGTTTACATCAAAGCTGTGGAATCACTGGCTGAAACGTCTGTTAGACATTGAACATGTTAATGTGTTTTCATTGTGTGTTTTTGTAGTTGTTGTGTTGTTTGTCATGTGTTGGTGTGTTTCTTGTATATGGACCCCCGGCTCTGAATAAAAGGAAATCATCTTGGGTTCCTGTCTGCCGCCGTAGATGCTGGTTTATGCCGCTCCTGGTCTGGGGGCTTGATTTTATGTGACACATGATCAGAACGGTCCTTCTGCCTTTTATCCTCTGGTAGCATTTCTAGCTATCAGCCACTAGCCTGTGCTACATGCCATACAATGCGTTTTTCCTCCTTGTCCACATGGGGTTTCAGCCGTTAGTGAGAGGTTTCTTAGTTATGTACTCCAGGATCTTAGCTGTTCAATCCAAGTTTATTAATAAAGCACCAAATCAGGACCAGAGTCGTCTCAAGGCCCTTCACACAGTAAACAACACAGGTCAGGTCATTAAGCCAGTCAGTAACATGTTTCCTACATAAGGAACCCAGCAGGTCGCATCGAGTCACTGACTAGTGTCAGTGTCTTTACAGCAATCCTCATACTAAGCAAGCATGCAGCGACAGTGGAGAGGAAAACTCCCTTTTAACAGGAAGAAACCTCTAGAGCATCCTGGCTCAGTACGGCTGTCCTGGCACTCACGAGTCCTCGTCCTCCATGCCCAGGTCTCCAGGTGGACCAACCGAGTTTTTTGATGGTCTGTCACTGACTGTCTCCACCAGTGTGCTGCTGACCTGACCTGCGCTACCGCTCCACATCACCCACCCCGAGGCTTCTGTTATGATGAAAGGTAATCCCGTACCCTCCAGCTGTGAGAGGACAGTGGTGTGGGTTACATCTGTGTCCTGATTCCCCTGCTGCTGTTCTCGTTAGCAGTCAGGTTCCTGGAAACCTCGACAGTTAATACTGTTTACTCCAGGGCTTTCCTTCATTCACTCGGGTTGACATGAATTCTCGAACTCGTGACCAAGATCGTGAGAGATACTAAGGAAGACAGCTCAGGTTGCCCTTCCTCTAAAGGACTACAATAAAAAACTCTGTTCTGTTGGTAAAGACCTGAGTCTTATGTTAGCATAAACCATGACCGTTCAGCATTGTAGCTTTCATCAAGCTTTTCTGGATGTGGGGCTGCGTTTTCTTATAAAACGTACCCAGAAGCCTGAACGACACCCTAACAACCCGTCAGGTACAGTTTGGTGAAGTTTTACAGCTTTTAAACAATAAGGTTTGGTTCTTTTTAGGGTTAATATCTGTGCACGAGGTGTGCTTGTATTACATGTGCTCTGTTTTCACTGCTGTGATTCCTGTTTTATGAAGAGACACTCTCACCTCGCCAGCTTTTCTCATTATTCATAAAAGTGGGCGTATACCGATGAGACCTTTTCCCTGAAACTCTAATAGTATCTGTTACATCCCCCGGAGCCTTCGGGGAGTGGTCTTTCTTCATGAGCTTTGTTCCTGTGGGTGGTACCTGCTGTGTTATATCAGTGATGCGGCACAGCGGCGTTTAGACGTGGACATCTCTGCTGTCGAGATGAAGGTACTGCTACTCGGTGTGGTAGGACTCCTGGGCTTCAGTCTGGCTGGAGCTCAGAATGTGACTAAATGCTCCCTGAAGAGTCAGCTGAAGGAGAAAATCGACAACCTGCCAGAGAAAATTAAGCAAGCAGGACTGACTGCAGACACCTTCGTGGCCAAGCGTGAGCACCTTTTTGTTACTTTAACTGTTTAAAAACGCTTTCCGTTTTCTAAGAGATGAAGGTTATGTTGAAAGAGAATTTCAGCAGTTTTCCGTTCTGCTGCCCAGTTTTCCTTCTGACGGCCATCCTGGTTCCTGGTTTGCAGACGTAAGACTTGTCTGCGTCTCAGTAAGCTGTAACAGTTGGTAATCACTCATGAGTGACGTCAGCAGGTGAATTTCTTAGGTGTTCTGACACTTTTCTTTAGCTTGTCCGTGTCCTCGCCTGCACTGCAGGGACTCTGGCATTTAGTTGGAATTTCAAACAAGTTCTAAAAAGTCATCAGGCAAATTTCACCTGAAGATAGTCACAAAGTCTGGAACGCAACCCGATTTACATTTCTATGTGAGACGTCTTTGGGAACAGTTGGCCACCAGCCAAACCAGAGGGTTCAAATGAAGGCAACTGGACTTCTTTGGTTTCCTGAAGACATTTGGCTTCTCATCCGAGGAGCTTTGTCAGTTCTGACTGGGTTACGGGAGAGTCACGCTTATAAGCTGTCTGTTGTTATTTAACTAGCAGAAACTACTGTGAGTACCCCTCCTCTCCATCCCCTGATGAGTCGTTGTGTTGATTAGATGCAGGAAGGTGTGGCCTAGACTGAAACAGCTTAGGAATGAGATCCAAAGCTGCACTAGCTGCATTTCTCCTTTCCAGCACCTGTAGTGTAGCTTTGAGTCACCTTCCTGTGCCTAATCAACACAACTGCCTCACAATAGAGGCTAACTCAGGGGGTGAAGAGGAGGGGTATTCAGCATAGTTCCTACTCATTAGCAACAATAGACAGCTACAGCTTATAAGCTTGACACTCCCATGTTCCCTTCAGAACATGACCTGGACGCCTGAGAACCTTCACCAGCATGCTGACCACCGCTGAAGCTACAGAGAGTCTGGCGGGTATTTAAGAAAGAGAATCTCACATTCTCGGCACGTCTAAGTATGATTGAAACTGAAGTAGTAGACTGTGGTCGTAGGAGAAACTGTGCATTGCTTTAGCCCAGATGCAGATGAGTGAAGTTTTATTTCCCAGGATTTCTCACAAACACGTACGTGACCAATCAAAGTGATTCTGTTAACGTTTTCACCAACAGCAACGTTCAGGTGGACGTACGCTGAAGACTGACTCAAAACCACACAGGAACACATAAATGTCCCAGCTTGTTCCAAGAACTGGAACAATTGTTGTGCATGTCTGAGTTTCTGGTGAGGGTGGGCCAGAGGGGCGGAGTCACACATTTACACAGATAGCAGCAGTAGCTAAAACCTCTGGTTAGGCTTAAATCTTCCTATGGTAGCAAACAGCTGAGGGTCCAGCATGAAGCTCCAGAGATGAAAACAACAGAAACAAGCTCGAAAAGAGAAGAGCTGTGGTCTTCTGCTGCAAAGCTCCAGTCAGGTAACCGCAGCACCTGGAGGACGAGATCCCAGACTCTTCACAAGTGTCCGTCTCACAGATCAGTTTCTAGGTCGGGCATCGTTGCGTTCCTCTGAACAGAGGTTCAGAAGGAATAATAATGGCTTACGGGGAATAGGACGTAACTGTTAATGGAGACACCAGAGGACAGCTTCATAACGGAAACTCGAGTGTCTGGAGACTCGAGCCGCATCACAACAGGTATTCAGCTACGTTGTGTTTCAGGTGGGAGAACGTGTGACTCAGGCCCGCCTAACAAACCAACAACCCAAAGGCATTCATGAAGAAGAATCATGCTGTAGAGAACGTGCTAGGGGTCAGAGGTCATGATCATCAGCCTTGCTGATCAGGCTGTGAGGCAGAGGACACTTCAGGTGAGGTTAGAGAAGTTGTGTTAAGTACTCGGGTTCAGCTGTTGCCTTTCCTGCGTGCTTCTCCTTGTGAGTGAACATTAGAAACGGTGTGAGGCCAAAAACTCGTCTGGGAGACTAAACACGATCCGATTCTTCCATCTTTCAGTTGTCTGTTATGTGGAGAACGGTTCAAACTTCAGCACCAGTGCTGTGACTGAGCTGAGTCATGACCGTGGAAGTCCTGCCAGCGGGCCCAGCCGGAAGCGCCGCGACACCCTCGATTTGCTGAGCAATGGGGACGAAAAGAAGAACGCGACCCTTTACGGCCTTTTCCAGCTCCCCGGGGACCCAGTTTGCAATGACAACAACAGTCCCAATGTGTGTGGCATGGACTGCAGACGTACGTTTTATGGCTTAAACCTTCTTAAATCTGTACTAATAACGTGCAAACGCACGGAGGTTCAGTTCTCACAGCATTTCTGATCTCAACAAGGTGCCACGGCTCATTAACTTTAGAAAACCGCTCGCTCTCTCACCAGGCTTGACCGATGACAAGATAGACGACGACATCCACTGTGTGTTGACTCTCATCGCCAAAATTGTGTATGTTATCATTTTCATTGATTTCTATGTAATAGTAAGTTTCATTGTTAACACTAACATCAGTGCAAATGCAGTGAATTTATAATTTAACCTGACCCCGGCTTTCCACCGCAGCCGTCAGCAGCGCGAGTCGGCCGCGTCTCAGGAGCAGCATGTCGCGGCCTTTACGCGCCGGTTCTATTTTCTACGCGCGACGCCTCTGAAACGGGTCAAGTTCGACATTTTTGGGGAAGGAAAGACAGGAAATCGAACGCGGAAATGGAGAGAAGCTACCGAGATTTTCAGAATAAAGAACGTACTGCCTTCCGGTTGCTTTACTTTTAAAAAAGGTTACTAACTGTGCGTCCCCGTGAGAAGTTATCACCTAGCTAGCGGTCTCCGTTGTTTTTCAGGTCCGTATTGGCGATTATAAAACGGACAGAACATAAAACACAAACCATGTTGTAGTTTTCTCCTGCTTGTTGTTGTGTTTACTGACGAAGTCACTCGTGTGACTTCGTGCTCGGTCGGTGACAGCTGCTCCCCTGCTGCTTCGCGTCTCGTGGGAAGGGCCAAGCAGCAGTTTACGCCAGCAAGACGTGCTGCTGCAGTAACGTTCTGCTGACGGCTCCCGTGGAAACCCGGGGTTACAGCCGAAGTTAGCTTTTCTCAGGTGCTAAAGCTCAATTCCTGAGACCTTGCTCCCTTTTCTCACAACATCAAACACAAAACCTCTCGTTCCTCTTGCTGAATCAAACTTTCACCTCATAACAGGTATGTATGTAATTTAGAGTAATTTTGAGTAATTTAGAGTAATTTAGAGTATTGTGTTTATGATCTGAGAGAAGCGTTTGATTTTGAGCACAGCTAAAACTGTTTTGTGGTGAAAGTTTGATTCAGCAAGAGGAACGAGAGGTTTTGTGTTTGATGTTGTGAGAAAAGGGAGCAAGGTGTCAGGAATTGAGCTTTAGCACCTGAGACAAACTGTAATCTTGCTCTTCCTCTTCGTCCTCCTTTTTCTCTTTCTTGCCCTCCTCCTCATCCCCCACCTCGCATACGCACCCGTCCTCGTCCTCTCATGAATTCTTCTATCCGTTGTCACACTTTCTCATTCCCACCGTCAACAACCTGTTTGCTCTCTGAACTCGCTCTTACTGGATCTTTTGAAACAAGTGAGATCTACTTTGACTGATTGTGTCCAGTCACTGACATTTGTGCTCTTGTTATGGGTGAATGTGCCGCTTGTGTTTACCGTTATGGACGACACGAGTGAGAATGTGTTTGAGAGTGAGAATGCATTTAGAGTTTTGCTAAACCGTGTGAAACGTTTAAGGTTTGGACAACGGGCTCAACTGTTAGCTTAATGAGTTCAAGCAACTGAGAACTTTCCTCGTGTGCCAAAGCTTCCTCTCTCCATGAAGTCTGATAGAATATGCCCAAGATACAAATCCATAAATATCTATTGATAATCAATAGATAAAAAGTTTTCAGTGTATTTATCCGTGATTGTGCATTTCTATAAATGTATGACTGTCTTCTTAAACAGCGAACAAGGCTTTGGAGCTCAGAACATCCAGGAGTTAACAAAAGTGTAAGTTTAATATATTTATATATTTATATGAGTCATCTTAAATATTAAAGGTGCATCATGTAGAAACGAAGTAAAAACTACATCCTGTGGTTAAACGTGGAGCTTTTTGCCGGCCATCGTCTACTTCCCAAAGTGGGCGCTGTAGCATTAGCTCGCAGGAGACACAGCACCCCCACCCTCACTGATGGTAAACAGTCGATACGGCCCTCCTTCCTTTGTTTTAGGAGAAAAACTGACAACCCAGCAGCTGGATATGAAGCATGTCTCAGTAGAAGCTTCCCTCCAGAATGACGGAAACATCAGACTTTTGGGATTGTCTCACTACATTCTTACATGGTGCACCTTTAACATGTTTTCATATTTCACTTAAGATTCTCTAAGAGTTTTGTAAAATACAGACATGGATGCATTGGTTGGCATGCAGTTCCTGTTAAGTTAAAAAGAAAAACCCACAGTCACTGAAATAAGTAGAAAATAACACAAAAACCAAAATATCAATAGTTAAGATCAATCTGAACCAGGAAGATCTGTAAGAGGTCAGTGGAGCAGGCGAGAGACGTGGTAGAGGACGGGCGTGGGTAGTGAATGCAGGTAGGGTTCCAGCCAAGGGTCAGACGTTAAGCGAGGTGGAGGAGGGACACAAGGTCGATGATCGATGGTTCAGGCAGGAAGGAAGGCTGGAAGATCTGAAAGCGAGGGCGTTCAATAATCTGGCAATGCTTGGAGAGCAGGCCGGAGCTTTGTAGCAGGAGAGGCAGGTGTGTGTCATGAGCTTGATGAGGGGACCAGGTGTGATGAATGAAGGCTGATGAGGTGCATGGAGGTCAGGGCGTGGCAGGATCATGACACTCAGGGCTCAGGAAAATATAGTTTCATTCAAACCTTTCACAAGGTGCCATCAAAAACCTATCAAACGATTTTCTGGTTCGATGGCGAACGGAGATGGCGAAGGTTGCATTGATTGTCATTCCTGCAGTCTTATTTTATGTTTTGAGGAGCGTTTTTGAGATTTAGTTTTGCTCTGAGTGGAACATGTTGGAATGTTCTCCTGACATTAATGATGTCACAAAAAGCTGGTAAAATCAGAATCAGAATTATTGCCATGTAGGTGAGGTCTCTACTAGGAATTTGCTGCGGTGGCAATGTGCAAACATACATTTAAGTCAAAGTCAGGTCAGGTAAAAACGCCAGTGTGTTTCAGTCCACCTCGTGGTGCGACCACACCCCAACCTGGACTATCTGAAACCCTAACCCTATCTGAAAACGGACCTGTCCTTGGATGTTTCAGCCATGCGGGCGGACTTTGCAGGACTAGAAGGCACGGTAACAGAAGTGGAGAGGTCTCTTTCCACATTTACAGGTGATGTTGTTCAAGTCCAAGCTAAAATGGATGCCATGTCAAAGGAGATGGCTTGTGTTGGAAAACAAATGTGCCATGTGACATGGTACGGTAATAGCATACGCCTAGTTCAGGTGCTGGATCACAATGTTGTAACTGCTGCAGATGTGTCTACGCTCCTCATGGAGCCATTTCAGCTTGAGAAGGAACTGCTGGTGGACAGATTTCATCTGTCGTGGTCTCCAAGACCTGCCGCACGGGGACGCCCCCGCCCCATGATCGTCTGCTTACATCACTACGTGGATACTGCCAAGTTTCTTCAGGAAGCCAGGGAACTGCGACAAACACAGATACGCAATATGGTTATCTCTGTCTTCCCTGACAACACCGCCAAGATAGCCCGGGCTCGTGCAGCTTTCAACGACCTTCTGTGTCAACTCTGGAGCATCGAAGGAGCTCGGTTTGGTATCTTTCATCCCGCTAAGCTTCGCTTCACGTGCCAAGGAGGGCAACGGGATTTCATCTCACCGAAGGACGCTGGGGATAATTTCAAAACCATGGTTCCAAAATGGAGACACAGCTGGTGTCGATATTTGTTCTTTTCCTCTTTCTTCTGGAGCCAAACTGGACTTAGACTAGATGATCATTGAGGTGAGTGACTTGTTTTTAGGGCTATTTGGCTTTGTTTGGCTTGTCCAGAGACGGAGAATATTCGTGCTGGTATTGTTACTTGCACCTTGTGTTTTGCTTACAGTGGCTCTGTTGGAGCGCCGGTTGGAGATGGTTTGATCCATTATCTGGAGCGTATTCTTTTTGGTTCGCTCCATGGGGAGCCACATGGCTCATTTGGGGAGGGAGACGTTTGCTTGTATTTGTGTGTGATTCTCTTTTTCTTCTATGGGGATGGTGACTTGATTTATTTTGTCATTTCATCTTTGTGTACTTGTCATGGCTAGTACTTTTGGTCGTTCCGGTGGTATCAGATTTTGTCTTGGAATGTGAGGGGTATGAATAACCCAGATCTAAGGTATTCTCTCATTTAAAACTCTAATGTGGAGTTTTTACAGGAGAACTATCTACAGCGTAAAGATCATGCTAAGCTCAGATGTCCGTAGCAGGGGCAGTGTTTGATTCCAGGACCAGAGGGGGGGCCATCTTGATTAACAAAAAATACAGTTTGTGGCCTTTAAGACCACAGCTGACAAAAACAGGAGATATCTGACTGCTGTAGTCGACGTGCTTAATGTTCCTGTTCTTTTGGTTAAAGTGTATGCGCCCAATTTTGATAAATCAAGTTTCATGAACAACGTTTTAGTAGCCTCTCTTTTCTCGACACTCTTTTTCTGATACTAAGTGGTGATTCAAGATGTGTTATTGATCCCGTTTTGGATGGATCGCACCGTCGTACTCTGTCTCAACTGTCTATGTCTAAATCTACGGCTGAATTCATGTCTCAAAGTGGATTTATTGGTTCTTGGAGATCTTCCATACCTGCTACTACAGCTTATTCTTTTTCTTTCTCATGGTCATCATTTTTTTGAAGTACTGAAAACTTTCTGTGGACAGTTCTCGTCCCCGAAGGTGCTGGCGTCTGAATACCATCCAATCATATCTCTGACGCCGTGACGCTGCTCTCGTGGCCTGCCTGTATCTGCTTTGTTCTACACGTCTTTGTGTTTAACCAAGTTTCTTGCTTCAGGACGCTGGGGCACTGACAGTAAAGTTGATTCTGGTGCCCATTTCTCCTTTTCCTCATCCCGGAGTTTAATTCTTCACTGCTGTCAGACGACAGTTTTGTCACCTTTATTAAATCCACATTCAACAACTTTATGACATATAATGACAACTAACTTTTAAAGCATACTTGCACGGCTAAATACTTTCTTTGTCTGCTCATTCCGGTAAAGATTATAAAACCAAACTCTAAAATTTGACTACACCACTTTACGATATAGATAGACAAGTTATAACCGACCTCGCTCCTGATTTACATAAAAGACGATTTGATCTACAGACTGAATTTAATCTATGCTCTACTCTCGATGCCGATCCACCGTTACTTCGTACACGTTTAACCTGTTATGAGCACGGGGATAAGCCGAGTAATCTTGGTCCATTAATTGAGACGTTGGGCTTCCTCTCAGTTGATATCTCAGGTTAAAGACACAGCTGGTAATTTGGTTTCCGGTCCTAAAGAGGTGAGTGAGGTGTTTAAAGATTGTTATACCACTTTGTAGACTTCAGAATCTACTGCTAATCATTGCGAAGTGGATTTATTTTTGGACACTCTGAGAGATGCCCACTGTTGCAGGAGCGCCCCCCAAAAATGTTGATAAGGGTGGCCAGATGGGGCCGAAGAAAGTTTTGGGGAGGCACACCAAATTGGTCCTTATTGTAGCTCTGAAAGAGTTTAGCCTGTAGTGATGCATTGCATTGCTTCTTTATTCTTTTTGATTTAAAAAACGTGTTAAAAAAACTTTAAGTTCAGTTATTTGAAATGTTTTTTTCAAAATTTATTTTAGAAATTTATTTATTTATTTATTTTGTTTAATTCACCTGTTGCTGTCTTCATAAAAAACTGTGAAGATAAACTTTTTTTCAGTGGTGAGCAGCAGAAACATACAGTTAGGGTATTGAAAAATTCAGGATCATAAGCATTTGGAGCGTAAGCTGAAACAAGGGCTATTCGGATTCCATTTAAACATATTTTAGCGATCGTGATCCGCCCTTTATTTTCTGCCCAAGAATCAATAAAATTAAATTTCAAGTTCCTTTTACATACCAACATGACACCTTTTGATTTTGTTGTTGCCGAAGGGCTAGCAATAACACGGTAAAACTTATTCGCAAAACGACCTACATCCTTAGACAGCAAATGTGATTCCTGGATCATGGCAAAATCTGTATTTCGTTTTCGCAAAAAATCTAACGCTAACCCCTTTTATACGGAATGTTAAGACCGCTGGCATTAAGGGAAATACAGTTGAGACCTGTCATCTTATGTGTGATAACCTCCTAATTAAAAGCTTAAGCTCCGGACCCCAAAAATAACCCCAGCTGAACTTTTTAGAACAAAAACTAAACCTCGTGAACAAAACTTGGAGTGGAGGCTACCAGTAACCTCCATCAACTCTATTTGGACCAAAATCTGGAAAACTAAACCCCAAATACCCACAGCTAGCTGAGCCACCCACATCGCCATACAACATGCAAAACTGGTGTCAAGATCAGCCTCCAAATATCACCCACCCAATGTCAAAATGAGACAAAAGCATTTCTTTAGATTCTTAATCAAAATAGCCAGCAAGCTTCTTCATTTAAGGCATAGGAAACAAACAAGAAACAACCCTCCCATTGTCTGCACATTACCCATTAGACCACGCTCATTTCAGGTTTTTGATGTATTGTGTTGCCTTCCTTGGGTCTTCAAAACGATGCTTAGTCCCGTTAGGAGCTGTGAAGAACAGCGTGGCCGGGTATCCAATCCCGAATGGGATGTTGGCCTGATGGAACAAGCGCTTCCATTCCACAAAGGACTGATGACGTGCCTGCGTTGCCCTGGAGAAACCTTGGTAGAAGCTGATTTTGTGGTCCTGCCAGCGCACGTCCCCCATCTCCCTAGCAATTCTCCACACCTGCTCCTTCTCCTGGAATCTCAAAAAGCGGACCACCAAGGGCCTCGGGGGAGCTCCAGGCTTTAGTGGTGCGATTGATCTGTGTGCCCGCTCCATCTCCAGGCCCCCTTCAAACTGGATGTTTAGAATCCCTGGAAGCACTTTCTTAAGGAAGGAAATAGCATCCTTGCCCTCTGTCTTCTTGGGAAAGCTGAAGATACGGAGATTTAGACGCCTTTCTCTATCCTCCAACTCAGCCAGCTTCAACGTTAGAGCTTCAACATCAGTCGCTGTCACCAGGGGGGATTCTCCCCGCTGTTTCTCTGTTTCCTCCAGCACGTCTAAGCGAGCCTCCGCACTGTTTACCCGTGTTAGCACATCAGCTAGCTTCCCTTCCAAGGCTGAGACCGCTCTCCGCCTCTCCACCAGTTGGCTCCTGATATCGGCGAAATTCTTCGTTTGATCCTCAAAATCTTTGACAGGTCCGCAGCCAGCTTCACAAGGAGCTGCATTATTCTGGCATCCGGTTCCGTGGCGAAGTTGTCTGTCGGGCCCGTCTGCTGGGCCGTTTTGGGGCTAGCATTAGCGGTAGCCTTAAACAGCGTCTGCTGCAGTGGCGCCCCTGTGGTGCTTTTCTTGTAGTTCGGCATCTTATCCACACTTATAATGTTTAAAAATGTTGTAAACTCCTCTGAGAGCAATAAAAAAGGCTTGAAAGTGACCCAAAAGCATAAAAAGGCTGAAGCGATGTGAGAGCCCGGTTATCAAGCAGCCATCCTACAAGACAACTGTCTCAAAGGCAGCCCAAAGGTCCAGCATGACCAGCACAACTGGCTTCCTATTGACCACTGCCCTAACTTTGTCATCATGAACCTTCAAGAGAGCCGATTCAGTGGTGTAGCGTCACCTAAAACCAGATTGGAAGGTTGTCTAGAAGTTGTTGAACCTGATTAAAAACTGTTTTTTCTAGAACCTTAGAAAAAAAGGAAAATTTTGAAATGGGTCCAAAATTTGAGAGAAGAGAGGGGTCCCTGTGGGGTTTTTGAGTAGGGGCCGGACCCCTGCATGCTTCAAACCCAATGGAAAACACCAGGACTTAGGGAAGAGTTAAACAGAGCATGGATAAGGTGTCCAATAAAATAAATAAACAACTTATGGACTTAGACGCCCATTGGGTGGTCAGTTAGAAGAGCTTGGGAACAAGAGTTAGGTTGATGATGGGAAGCTGCAGTGTCCAACGTCTGTTGTAGTGCATCAAGTTCTCGGTTACAACCTGTTCAGTGTAAGGTCCTATAAAGAGCTCACTATTCAAAACCTCGCCTGTGTAGAGTTGGTCCACGTGGTGGATCAGTGTGACCTGAGTCACATGTTCTACTCATGTCGGGAACTCTATGGCATCAGAATGCTGTTCCTGTTGTTTGTTTTCTTGTGTTTTCATGTGTTGTTTTTATGAACATGTAAAATAAAATAAAAACCATCAGACATCTGAATAATCAGTGTCAGAAAGAACGTCTCCGATGAAGCTCACCAAGATGCCCATCAAACACATCGCCTGGCCTCCCACAGCAAACTGGAAATTACCAGCTGGTTCCACTTGGCTTACCAACAGGACCACAGCAACCCTCAGTGGTAACACCCGCTACATTAGGAGCCTGAATCTTACGTTCTGCCTCTGTCACACATGGTAAAATACACCGCCCAGCCAAAACAAGTCTCTACCTGGCAAACAGGTAGGAGCCTCCTATTGGCTGATTGCTGCAGGTACTTCACATTACTGGTGCAATGACCTGTTCTCGTTTCTAGAACCACCATGTGGACAGACACATCTGGTGGTGGTAGAAAGGATGTTAGTCAGAATTGTCCAAATAACATTCATACAAGTCCGTTTTTAAAATAACGACCAGATCAAGTAGGAATTATATTTAAGGACATTCACAATAACATCTGCACTCATTTAGCGTCTCGTTCCATGAAGGTGTGTCCATCCTTCAGGTTAACCCTGACCGGTTATCGGTGGTTACAACTTGTTGTCTTTGACAGAAACTCTAAACAGGCCATGGGCAAATCTAATCAAAGGCATTTTAAAGTTTTCAACCGTAATTTAAAAATTCTTTTACTATTTTCGAGTTATTTTAGTGACTCTTGTGGGTTTTTGTTTTGTTGATGGAAAGCTTTGTTTACATGTATGAAGTGATGCTGATGCTCTGTTTGTTTGCAGGTTCAGGCTCATGATGCAGCCGCAGTGCAAAAACGCCCACTATGACGTCTACTTCCACGAGTGTCACTAGTTTCTTACAGTTAGCTCCTTAAACGCCGCTGGACTGCTCAGGCTTGTTTCTCAGCAGTGATGAATGAATAAAAGCATGAAGCATGTAGCTCCTGTTGTTGATGATGTTGAAAGTAGTAAAACTTGTTTTCCTGTTACCTGAATAGATCATTAAACTGCCCCCGTGCTCCATGGCTGGAGACTGATGCCACCTGAGGGCCATGCAGGCTCACATTATTCTCTCTCTCTCTCTCTCTCTCTCTCCCTCTCTCTCTCTCTCTCGTTCTCTCTCTCTCTCTCTCTCTCTCTCCTCTCTCTCTCTCTCTCTCTCTCTCTCTCTCTCGTCTCTCTCTCTCTCTCTTCTCTCTCTCTCTCTCTCTCTCTCTCTCTCTCTCGCTCTCCTCTCTCCTCTCCTCTCTCTCTCTCTCTCTCCTCTCTCTCTCTCCCTCTCTCTCCCCCCCCTCTCTCTCTCTCTCTCTCTCTCTCGCTCTCTCTCTCCCTCTCTCCTCTCTCTCTCTCTCCCTCTCCCCCCTCTCTCTCCCCCCCCCACTCCTCTCCCCCCCCCTCTCTCTCCCCCCCCCCCACCCCTCTCTCTCTCTCTCCTCTCTCTCCCCCTC